ATTTTATTGTACTATGAATCATAATCATTTTGTATGTATATCATATCTATATCTATATATATCCTATTTGTATATCCTGTTGCGTGAATTTTTTGTAAATTCAATGATAACACTGTTTATGAATCTATTTGGTTAATTAATGATGAAACCAAATTATATATAGTAATATTCTAGAAAACTATTGTATATTATTCTTGAAATGAAATAATCTTAATCAATATTCTTCTAGAAGAATATTGTAATATTGTTTAAAAAGAATATTATATTAGCATTATTTGTTGCTCCTGAAAAAGCATTAATTCACACATACAATATTTAAAATAATTTTGCACTATTACTCTTGAAGAGCATGAATTTTCAATATTTCAGAATAACATTGACGTGCTCCTGAAGGGTACAATCATACAAATATTACATTCTACAAGAAATATACTTCTGAAGATTTAATATTTTTAAATAATAATTTGTTATTATTCCCGAAATAACACATTATTATTTACATACATTATAATTAGATTTTACTTGGTCTAATAGAGCAAATTAAATACGGTCTAACATAAATTATGTTTTTACTATTAAAAAATAAAATTTTATATAATTTATTATAATGATATGAGATCGCTCCTAGAAAACATGAATTATAATTTTCAATATTTCAGAAGAATATTGACATATTGCTCTTGAAAAATCAATAATAAAATACAATTCCCTCTCGAAGTAGCACGTGTTTCGAAAAATGTATTATTTTAAATTCATGTTTATTCTTAAAGGAAAACATATAACTAATGTAACGAGAATATTGATTAGTTTGACCACTTGAGTGATACATAATTATATAATGTTTAATCATATNTTGATTAGTTTGATTACTTGAATGATATATGATTATATAATGTTTAATCATATTTTTCAAAATTAAATAATTGAATTATATCTTATATTGAACCAGAAGTTCAATTTGTTCGACATGCCCAGTTGGACCATCACAGACCAATAATGCGAAATTAAAAATTTAAATGGACATTCAACGAAGTACCAGAAATTCTTCGATCAAATGAATTCCTATATATTACTCGTTTTCTTTATCGACAATTGATCATTAAGAGCATGTTTGGCTAGACTTAAAATCCAATTAAAATTGAAAATATAGTCTTTATTGGGTTCCACTTGTCTAATAAAAGTTAACAATAACGCCTAATTTTTCAATTTTAATCCGATTTTAATTTCTACCGAACACGCCCTAAATATCGCTTGCTAAAATAGTGACTGAATTCCCTATATTTCTAAAAATTAAACAGGGTGATAAATGAGGTCTTGTCATCTTTCATGTTGTTTATACTCTCATGGAGCTAGCCTGTTGTTTATACTCTCATGGCTCTTTTTCTGCAGTTTTTTCCAATTTTTTACAAAAAAAAATGTTATTATCATAAAAAAAATTGCTAATAAAATAGAGAACAAAATTTATGCGATTCAGTATATGTGTACGATATGTAAGAGAGGGAAATGGGTAGTTTTACCATCTTCTTGCCGGCAGACACCATTATGGTGGAGATTGAATTCCAAGTGCAGCGGCGGCAGAGCAGGAGGGAGAGGAAGGGAGGCAAAAGCCTAGTGATTTGGGTGCATTTTATTTTCATGTTTACTTTGGTGGCACGTGTTATTCATGTATTGGGGTGGAACCATGAATGGGCTGAGAAGGACCCAATATTGTAAGTGGGCTATTTGTTGGATTTAGCTCCGTCCTGTTTCAATTTTTTTGTTTTTTTATTTTTCTG